CCCCATATGCTGGAGGTGGCGGGTTCAAACCCAGCCCCAGCCAAAAACAGCAAAAAAACAGGCTCAGTGCCTGTAGCTCAGCAGTTAGGGAGCTGGCCACATACACTGGGGCTAGAGGGTTCGAACTCCACCCAGGGGTGCTAAACAACAATGACAACGACAACAACAATATCAAAAAAAAATAGCCAAACTTTTAGAAACAAACAAACAAAAAATAGACAGACACTGTGGCGGGTGCCTGTAGTCCCAGCTACTTAGGAGGCTAAGGCAAGAGAATCACTTGAGCCCAAAAGTTTGAGGTTGCTGTGAGCTGTGACACCAGAGCACTCTACTGAGGGGAACATTGTGAGACTCTTGTCTCACACACACACAAAAAGAAAAAGTCAAGAGAAATTTAGAGACAGAAATCAGGACAATAGTTACCTGGGGTGGGGGTGGGGGTAATGCCTGGGAGGGGAAGCAAGGAGGGGGTCTGAGGAACTAGTCACTATGAACAGAGGCAGGGCAATACATCCGTAACTGTTGTTCAGTATACATGTTCTATTTCAAAAGGAAACTTACTCAAATAAAGATGTGGAAGTGTTACCCAGAAAAGAGGCAAGCATATGCCAGGCAGGCGTACAGAGGAAGGCTTAGCATAGCAGTCAGGGAAAGCTTCCCATGAGTGGGGAAGTGCCCGAGAGTCCTCTGCAGGCAAAAGGACAGCAGCAGGCTCCAGGCACCACGTGGGTGCCCTACATGTTCAGACGAGACCCTGGCGACAGGTGGCTGTCCAGACATACTGAAGGGAAAGATGCTATTGTTAGATGAGAAAAGACCGAAACTTAAAGTAAATGTCCGATTCAAAATGTCAGGAGAAAAAATACAACAGACAAAACCAAAAATAAAATACAAAGAAAACAATAAAGATAACAGAAATTAACAGAATGAAAACAATACAAAAAATGGCAAATATCAACACTGTCAAAGTTGATTCTCCGAAAAGACTGATAAAAGAGCAAGCCTTTGTTGAGGCCAAGCAGGAATGAAGACAAAACAGGGAAAGAGTGTTGTCCTGGGTTGTCCCCGCTCACTCACACACTCTGAGCTGACAGCAGAAACAAGACACTCGGGTGCCTTTCCAGGCTGGGCTGCAGAACAAAGAAAAGGACTGGCCTGTGCAAGAATCTGTCCTTGCTGACACTGGCAGACACCAGGGGACAGAAGCAGCCACATGTTGCATACATGCTGGCCAGTGCTGCGGGCAGACAGAACACCGGGGCCACGAGCACCCTGCACCTCTCCATGTGCTCACAAGGCTCTCCTGAGCACAGCTGCACATGCCAGCACCCCGATTCCTGCCCAAGCACCCTCGCATCCTGCCCTGGCCGTGGCCCACTTCCCCTCATGTTCATGCCTGGCCTGTTACATCAGACCAGGTGTCTGTGAATCCTTTAAGGGTCATATAGTAAATATCTTAGGCTTTATGAGCCAAAAGACAAAATTGAGAATAATATGTATGCACTTACTTAATAAGAGAAAACAGATTTCCCCAAGTTTTTTATTGATAAAATTCAAAACAACACACTAGCAGTAACTGTGTATCCCTGCAGCAGTAGGACCATCAGTCATGCTGTGCTGGGGGTAAGAGGGCACAGAGCACAGGCAGTGGGGGACTTAGGGTCTGAGTGCCAGGGTAAGTGAGCGAGGAGTCTGCCCTGGAGAAAGCAGCCTGCCCAGTGGCCATCCTCCTTAGGCTAGTTCCCCCAAGTCTCCTATTACACAGGCCCTGTGGCTCTCAGCTTCCTTGAGGCCTATGGTCTCCTGTCTGGAAAGTGCTATGGGAGAGCCCTCAGCTCTGCCCACTATAGTCAGGCAAGTCAGACCATGGCTGAGCTCAATGGCCCACAGCTCCCCTGGTGCAGGGAGAGGGCTTCTGCCAGGCAGCCCCCTGTAGATGCTTTCTTCTAGGTCCACATGACTCAAGGAAGTCTTCTTACACGGTCCGAGAGCAACCTCATTTCCCCAAGTTGTAGACTGTTGCAAATTCAGCAGTTGCCCTTTAAGGGCCATGGGGAAGCCACGGCCACAGGAATCACAAGAATGCAAATGCCCCAGAATGCTCGAGCCAGGACTTGCCAGTCTGCAGCAGGCAGAGCTGAGACTCTCCCATTTCACTTTCCAGGCAGGAGGCCACAGGCCTCAAGAGAGCTGAGAGCCACAGGGCCCGTGTGACAGAAGCTTTGCGGTAATTGGCCCAAAGAAGATGGCCACTGGGCATGCTGCTTCCTGTAAGTCAGGGCAGGCTCCTGGCTCACTCACCCCAGCACTCAGACCCTAAGCCTACACACCCACCTCCTGCACCAGCCCCCTCACCACAGGGCATGACTGATGGTCAGTGAGTCACATCTGTCTGGCTTCACTGAAAAAAGCTAAATAGGGCTCTTCCACACAAGTCTCCTATGCCTGTGGCAAGGCCACCCAGAGGTGTGCTCTCCTGGCCCATCCCACCCACAACCACAGGAAGGCAGCACCAGGTCCCTACCTTTGTAAGGATGCACCATCCCATCTACCACCTGCACTGTGTCATCCCTCTGCAGCTGCAGGGACACGTCCCCCACTGCCTCCACCAGGTCTGTGAAAAAGTCAGCAATCTCTGCACAGTCCTGCAAGAACACGTAGCGGTCCTGGCGGTTGGTGAAGTAGGAGTCGCTCAGGTTTGCACTACAGGGAGGAAGAAGCAGGTGAGGACTCAGGCAAAAGTGCAGAGCATGCCTGCTGACTCAGGTCTCAGGTGAGCCAGCAGGATAGTGACAAACTAGGTCAGGATGCGACTACCAAAGAACTACTGAGCAATGACCATGTCACAAGACAAGGCAAGAGTAGCACTAAGGTAACACAGAAAAGTGGACCACAAGACCTCACAAAACTGACAATCTAGCTGGGGAAGGAGATGCAGACACCAAGTCAACTAACCACACACAGACATAGTGCCCGTGCCCTAGAATCACAAGGACCTGGATTTCCATCCTGGCCCTGACTCCTGCTTATTTTTCTGACTCTGCCCGACAAAGTTATTTGTCCTCTTGGATCTCTGTTTTCACATGCACAGAGGGAGGAAAATACTACACAGGGTCACCATGAGAACCCAAACGAGGTGGTACATGTAGGTGGCCAACAAATGGTAAGTGCCTCATAAATGGGGGCTACCTTCCCATCCGCAGTGGGCTTGCAGCCTGCACAGCATACACAATGCCTGGGTGATGCATGCCTTGTGTGTACAGCAGCCACACAAGCAGGTGCTCCTAGGCTGACCAGCAGAGCACTAGGCCCTGTCACTGACAGAGGGGGGCAGCTCACCCGCTCAGGATGACGTTGTTGTCAAAGAGGTACACCTTGATGTGCTGGAGGCCAATGGTCTCGTTGAAGCGCTCAGGGACAAGAAGCCGGAGAAGCCCGCGGAGGTTTGGCGTATGAAAAAGGGAGACACGGACCTGTTCTGGAAACCTCTGCAAGAGTGGGAGCAGCATCGTGCGAGAGTTCTTCCTGCCTGAGTATGCGGGAACAGAGAAAATGGACAGTGATTCACCCCAAGAAAGAAGTCCTCCCTACTAGTAGGGAACAGCCTCCCGCGTGGGCCTCACCGTCACCCACACTACCCCCTTGAGTTGGCCCCACCAACTGGTACCCTTTCTAGCCAGATGATGTCTAGACCAACTTTAGAAACAGAGTCTCACTTTATTGCCCTCAGTAGAGTGTCGTGGCATCACAGCTCACAGAAACCTCCAACTCCTGGGCTTAGGCAATTCTCTTGCCTCAGCCTCCCAAGTGGCTGGGACTATAAGCACCCGCCACAACGCCTGGCTATTTTTTGTTGTTCTTGTTGTTGCAGTTTGGTCCGGGCTGGGTTCGAACCCCACTGAGCCACAGGCGCCACCCCAGACCAACTTCTTAACCTGGATGCTGGCCGCACTCAGGGCAGAAGTGCTCAACAGACACGTGGTGTTGGTGCGCCCAGCACCTATTCACCTTCCTTCTTACAACTGTACCCAACTTCCTTCTGGAGGCACCCCCACAGCCACTCTCAGCATTTCTGTGCTGGGCGACGATGATTCTACTCACTCTCCCAGCTCCACAGGACAACACACAGGCCTAGGGGTCAGCCATCCAGCAGACTCCAAGCCCCTGGCAACCACAATTAACTCCAAGCTGGGCACACAGCCATGGCAGCCCACTGAAGAGCCCCAGCCTGACTCTCTTCCCACAGCTAAGAGGAGTATCTGTGGGGATACAGGCTGTAGCCACTAACAGCCACCACAGAGCCTGAGAATAAAGTCAACCCAAAAGAAGTGGGAGCAGGAGCTGGGTCCTGGTGACACATCCAAACCCAAATCACAACCACCTGAAGCAAGTTAGCCACGAGAGTCAAAAAAGTTTCTTCTGGGCCTCAGTAGTTTTAGTCAGGCTTTCAGTGGCTGGCTGTGGAAGGAAGCCTGACTCCAACAACCAGGCAGTCCCAAGCAGCCTAGCCCATCTTCAAACAGCCTTGTCTCTGCTTGAGAAGGAAGAGGTGACAGCAACTCCCCCCACTGAGGGCCTGACAGCAAAGGAACACGGGCCGGAGTGCGATGTACCTACCTCTAGAGCCCCGGGTGAAGTCCAGGAGAATGGAGACCTTGAGGTCTGAAGGGAACTTTGCTTCGAGTGACTTTTCTAGAGTGCTTTCCAAGCAATCCACCTGTCAAGAAAAAACCCGAAAAGAAGCATAAGACTCAAAAATATGTCTGTATATTAAAAAAATGAATCAGCTTATCAGCAGACATGCTCAGCACCCTCTCTAAACACAGGTTTGCACCATCAGCTCCATCTGCGATGGCCTCCTTCAGGACAAGCAGCCCCCTCAACAGCCTGAGCCTCCAGGAAGAGAAAGAGGACCTGCAAGGCAGGGTGTGCTGCCCCAGCAGGCTGGGCCTTGCCAGCCCTGGAAATGCCGCGGCACCAGCTCCCACATACATTTCAACACAGATGACTACGAGTACTGCCCTATGCCCAGACAGCGCTCAGGACATACTGGCTGATGAGTGAATCCAAGACACAACCTGCCCATGGCCATTCCCCATGGGTTGGATATTACATTCTTCTCCCACGAGAACAAGCAGGCTTCCCACACTGGCAGCTAAGGGTATGTCCTGAAAATAGAGAAGGGCTTGTTCCTGGGAGAAGCAGAGAAGAGAGGGAAGTGTGATGCTAAGCCGCCTTCCCCACACACCAATCCCTACAGCTCCCAGCTATGAATTTCTGAGCAAGGATGGACCAAGAAACAACATTTACTATGGACAATGGGCCCATTTCACTATCTCTGAGCAAAAAGAGACATCGGTAGGACCCACACGAAGTACTGATCTGATCTCACATTCACTTCAACCCAGCTTCAGATTGCTGGTGCCAGAACCTGCATTGACCCCATATCACAGGGAGCACCCCTTGTACAAACCTTCCCACTCATGCCTGTCTCACTAGAATGACAAGTGTGGTGTGAGGCAAGTCCAGGTAGAACAAGGCTGGCTATAGACCTGGCACCTGATGCCAGCTACTGGAAAAATCAGCCAGCCTGATCTGTACCCAAGTCCGTTTGTTCAGTCAAGGTCAGAAAACCTTTTGTGAAAAAGGCCAGATAGTAAATATTTGGGGTTTTATGGGCCAGATAGTCTCTGTCACAACTACTTAGTCCTGCTAATGTAACGTAAGAGTAGCCATGGATAACACACCAATGAATAAGCATGACTATATTCCAATAAAATTTTATTCATAAACACAGAAATTTGAATTTCACATACTCCTCACAAATCACAAAATATTCTCTCTTTTTTTTCTTTTAGCTAACAGTCATACCAGATATTCTTTTTCTTATTCCCCCCACCTCCTGCTATCACTGAAAATGTTAAAAACAAAGTCTTAGCTCACAGGCCTTAAAAAAGCAGGGCCTGCTGGCTGCAGTCTGCCAAGCCCTGGATGGGTAGACAGAGCATCTAGAGAGCCCTGTGCAGAGTGAGGAGGACACTGGCCTGCAAGACCAGAGACCCAAACTAGACTGCTCTTTACCTTCCTCCAGACTCCCCAACATGCCCATATCCAGGGCAACAGAAACGTGAGCTGGCTCTGAGCTGGAGGCTGTGCAACGGCAGCTCTTTGTCCACCTCACTGCTGCTCCAGCACATCAGGGCCAAAGCACTGCTGCCATTAGGACCACATCCCCACAAACCTTACCAGCTCCTGTTCCAAAGGACCTGTCCCCAGGTAGAGGGAAGCCATCACAATCCGCCTCTTGGCTACTTTTATCTGTCCCTGAAAGAAGAGAAAAATTCAAAATTTACATTCATCATTTTCATAGTTCACTGAAAAAATGTAAGCTTCTGACCTTGGAGGCAAACCACACTCTAAGATGGACTAGCCTATGTCTTCACCAATTAATATTTAAAGCAAAGCCAAAACATGCACAATAATTTACCAAGTAGGACCCACAATCCTAATTTAAAGTACTCAGCTTGCAAAGTAAAGCATCATCTCAGCCTGCTACAAAATGCAACACAACCACTGAAAAGAATGAAGGAGACCTGTGCAGGCTGGTGGGAATGTGCACTAGGGCTCACGAAGAGGCAAAAGCACAGCACTGACAGGACGCAGCCACACTCCCACCTGCCCTCAGCTACTGTAGGAACATGGAGGAAGCGGCCTGCTGACCCACAGGGACACAGAGAATGCGTGCCGACTATAGCATAGGACTCCCAGGAGTAAAGCTTAAAGAAAGGCGGTACTGGGCCAGGCGCAGTGGCTCACACCTATAATCCTACACTCTGGGAGGCCAAGGCGGGTGGATTGCCTGAGCTCATGAGTTGGAGACCAGTCTGGGCCACAGAGAAACCTCGTCTCTAAAAATACTCAGGTGTTGTGGCAGGCGCCTGTAGTCCCAGCTACTTGGGAGGGTGAGGCAAGAAAATCGCTTAAGCCCAGGAACTGGAAATTGCTGTGAGCTGTGACGCCACAGCACTCTACCCAGGGCAACAGCTTGAGACTCTGTCTCAAAAAAAAAAAAAAAAAAAGAAAGAAAAGAAATTTAGCTAAATGTAGGTCAACAGAACAAGAGAGCCAAGAAGAGAAGGTGGGCAGGCACTAAGAAGAATGAGGTCATTTTTTCTACCTCTCTTCTATTATCTCCCAATATTCTGTCTGCCCAGCCTCAACAGACTTTCATTCTAACATCATTGCTAATATGAACTCTGTTGTTAAAAATTAATTAGTGTTGAATTACTTCATTCCAATTAGCAGTTTAACCAGAGTAACTAGACATGGTATGTAAACCTGAGTAACATGCTGACAGCTGAACCCCCAAATGCAGAGTTTACACCACTACCAGGAGAGAGAAGGCACATACTGAGACAGTACCATAAAGAACCAGGACTATGGCCAGGTGCACGGTGGCTCACATTTGTAACACTATCCCTTGAGCTCAAGAGTTTGAGACCAGCCTGAGTAAGAATAAGACTCTATCTCAAAAAATAAAATAAAATAAAGAACCAGGACTATAACTCCTAAAACCAGGATGTCAGAACATCTAAGTTCCCAGACATCTTTAAATTTTAAATGCCTCTTCACACCCATTGACTCCACCTGCGGGTCTTCACTTCCAGTGTGTTACATCTACCAAGATGACACTACCGTGTCTGGAGATGTTTTCAGGAGCAGGGTACAAGACGCCAGGATAGGACAGAGGTTCATCTCCCTGTCACATTCACCAGGGAAACATCCATGTAGCCCACTTGTTCTCAGCAACCTCCCTCCTAGTGACCCACATCTTCCCAGGACAAAGGCAATCAATGTGTCCACAAGAACCGAAGTCTATACCCTTGTCCTCACTATTCCCTTCTCTAGGATGCTGGCCCAGTAAGCTTCTAACTGTGGCTCAATGCAACCACCTGTGACACTGAAACCTAACAGGCAGAAACCAAGAAGAATAAGCTGAGCAACAGCAAAGTCTTCTAGAACACAAAGCATTCAGTACTCACCAACCTGATCCCCAAAACCTCTAACTCAAACTTCTTTCCTTTAGACACAACTCACTTACCTTCATGAGCTCGAAAAACTCTGCCGGGGAAGAAATCACCCTGACATGGGAACTGGAGACTCCAAATTCTGGAACCAGGTTCCTGATCCACTGGAACCTGTGCACTCCCTCTGGACACAAGCAGCAAGGTGGGGAGGTGACCAGGGGAATAGTTGGAGACAGCAAGGGAGCCAATAACAGCCATGGTGACCTGGTTAAAGAAACGTGCAGATGGGTTATATTGCTCAAATACTTCTGCAGAAGCCTCTTTCTGTTATGGGGGAGGAGGAGGGCTGGAGATGAGTATTTGGGGGCTAATTTCAGATTCTCTAGAATGTTTTAAAAAGTGAGACCAGGGCAGCACCTGTGGCTCAATGGGTAGGGCGCTGGCCCCGTACGCTGAGGGTGGCAGGTTCAAGCCCAGCTCCAGCTAAACTGCAACAAAAAAATAGCTGGGCATTGTGGCAGGTGGCTGTAGTCCCAGCTACTCAGGAGGCTGAGGCAAGAGAATCACTTAAGCCCAAGAGCTAGAGGTTGCTGTGAGCTGTGTGACATCACAGCACTCTACCAGGGCAATAAAGTGAGACTCTACAAAAAAAAAAAAAGTGAGTCCAGGCTCGGCACCTGTAGCTCAAGCAGCTAGGGCACCAGCCACATACACTGGAGCTGATGGGTTTGAATCCAGCCCGGGCCTACCAAACAACAATGACAACTGCAACCAAAAAATAGCCAGGCATTGTGGTGCGCATCTGTAGTCCCAGCTTCTTGGAAGGCTGAGACAAGAGGATCGCCTAAGCCCAAGAGTTTGAGGTTGCTGTGAACTGTAATGCCACAGCACTCTACCCAGGATGACAGCTTGAGACTCTGTCTCAAAGAACAAAAATAATTAAAATAAAAAATAAAAATTGATTCCAAGTCGAGCTCTGTAAAAAGGTTTTTGCTTCAGCCCTCCTTCCTCCTCCTAGCCTACTAGCCAAGTACCACAAGAAGTGTCAAAGTCTATGGATACATTCAAACTTGAAGTTGATTCCCAACAATTCAAGGACCAAATTTAGCGCAGCCACAAGCAAACTCACAAAAGCGACCACATGGTTAATACGGCCATGCCCTAACAAATCCAACTCAAAAATATTTGCCTGCAGATGGCATTGAAAGATACCCATAGTACAATTAGCCAGGAGTGGTGGAAGATACCCGTAGTCCCAGCTACTTGGAAGGCTAAGGCAGGAGTACCATTAAGAGCCCAGGAGTTTGAGGTTGCTGTGAGCTATGAGACACCACCGCTGCACTCCAGCCTGGGCAACAGAGTGAGACTCAGTCTCAATAAAGAAAAAAAGAACGATATCCAGAACAAGAGTAGGTCTAGCAGAAATCTGACAATCACAACCCAGACCCCCAATTATATGACTCACAAGATAAACAAGGTTTTTATTCAAAGAAGGGAAAGACCCAGAAAAATAATTGTTTTTTCTTTAAAACTCAGATTTGGAGGCTCGGCACCTGTGGCTCAAGCAGCTAAGGCACCAGCCACATACACCTGAGCTGGCAGGTTCAACTATAGCCAAACAACAATGACGGCTGCAACCAAAAAACAGCTGTGCATTGTGGCGGGCACCTGTAGTCTCAGCTACTTGGGAGGTAGAGGCAAGAGACTTGCTTGAGCCCAGGAGTTGGAGGTTGCTGTGAGCTGTGATGCCATAGCACTCTACCCAGAGGGACAGCTTGAGGCTCTGGCTTCAAAAAAAAAAAAACCCTCAGATTTGGAGTGGTGGCTCACACTTAACTATCCTAGCACTCAGGGAGGCAAAGGCAATTGGATCACCTGAGCTCAGTTCAAGACCAGCCTGAGCAAGAGCAAGACCCTATCTGTAAAAAATAGTCGGGCATTGCAGCAGGGCACCTGTAGTCCCAGCTACTCAGGAGGCTGAGGCAAGAGAATCACTTGAGCCATATAGTTTGAGGTTGCTGTGAGCTATGATGCCACAGCACTCTAGCAAGGGTGATAAAGTGAGACAAAAGCTAGAGCAGGAAGAGGCTAGAGAAAAGGAGCACGTCTCCAGAGAGATGTTAAGTGCCCCTCAGGATCAGGCACATCCTTTTGGGGGGTGAAACCCATCTCTGGCCAGCACTAGCATAACCACATAAAGCGGACCCCAGCACACTCTGCACTCCACTGAAGCCAAGCCTGGAGGACATGAGGCTCTGCCATGAGCCACTCTCTGCCATGCGGCACAGGGCAGAGGGACTGCACACTCAGAGCCCCACAGAGACCCAACTGGACTTTAAATTCCAAACAGCAGCAGCAAAATCCTCTTTGGTGCATAACCTCAAAAGAACACTGGGAGAGATGCTCAAATGTCCTAAAGCCTGAATGGCCACAGATTCCCAGAAGATGACTTCACTCGCTTGCTTCATGATAAAGCACTGAGTCTTCCCAAGGTTCATAAAGGTCCCTGCACAAACACCAGATGGCCCACAGCTGTGCTTCCCAGAAAGCCCACCAGCCTATCTTGGCAATTCACTGCCAAGAAAACTTTAGTCAGCAAGAGAAGGTATCAATTCTCTGGAACCTGGAAGTCTGAAATTGACCATGGCCCACAGAGCAAAGGTAAGGAAGCAGCTGCTCTCTCGCTGTCCCCAGAGGGGGTGATGTCACTCATGGTGGGCACAGGCTCACAAACTAAAAGCCTAGATGTGTGAACAAAAGATTTCCCAAACCAGGGACCACAGAAATAGAAGGACCCTTTAGTTCACTGGAAAACCACAAGACAGTGGGAAAGGTACACAGCAACCTATCGATTTGAAGCCCCAAAGGGGGCCTAAAGTTTAATATTCAGTAATGAAACCGTCTATTGGCCACGGGAGTTGACAGCAGCATCAGATCAACGTCTGCTCTGTCTCACAGCACTTCTGCCACCCTCAAACCCCACAAGAAACAGGACACCACCGCTCTAGGCCACAGGGTAGTTCGCCTTCACAGGAACCAAGAGACACAAACCAACTCCCAAAAAGGTGAGGAGAGCAGCACCTGTGGCTCAAAGGAGTGGGGTGCCAGCCCCATATGCCAGAGGTGGCGGGTTCAAACCTAGCCCCAGCCAAAAACTGAAAAAAAAAAAAGGCAAGGAAATCTTCCTTGGCACACAGCAAGCCTCCAACTATTGCTCCACAGGG